CATTTGGTGCATATATTGCTAACAAAAGTATCAGTTTGTTATTCATCATTATTTCCACCATCAAAATTCTCTCTTCCTCATCCATTAAAATTTGTTTAGCATTTATTGTCTCTTTTATATATAGGGCTGTTCCCCTTTTGTTGTGGTAAAGAAGTATATAACTTCCCAATTTTAGGATATTTCAATACTGTCATATGTTGTTTTTTTATGTGAACTTCTTGCAGACAAATTATATCTGATTTTGATTTTTCTAATCCATTAAAAATCCTTTTCCATTTTATTACCGAATTCAGTCCATTTATGTTGATTGACATTAATTTAAATTCTTCTTCCATAGTTATTTGTAGATAAGTTTTGTTGTTCTAGTCATTCTTATCTCTTTCGGTTCTTTTGCTCTTGCTCCCTCTCTTATTGCTATTTCCTCCCAGTCTCTTTCTTCTTCTTCTTCTTCTTTTTTTTGTATGCTCCTCTCTTCCATCGCTCCTTCTTGTTGTTTTGGCTCTTCTTTATCACTTATTCTCATTTGTTCTTGTAATCCAAAATATTGCTCATTAAATTGTTCTGCTTTTTCTATAGAGTCCAATCTGTGTCTTTGCTCCATCCAGGTCACCCATATTCTTTCCGGAATCAGCCATCTAAAGTTTACTCCATGCTTCATTAATTGTCTTGTTAAGAATTGGTATTCTCTCCTTATTTCTCTTACTTTCCTCGGGACCTGTTTTAGTACTACGATTTCCTTCTCCTTGTATTTTAAAGGCTCATCTCTCACTCTTTGTAGAATTTCTAGCTTCATTGCTTTTTTTGTAAATCTCACATGGACCTCTCTGGGAAGTTTTTGTCTCACTGCATATCTAGTGTTGACTTTAAATATCTCATTGATATCTGCCATATTTTTTTCTTTGTCCACTTCTAGGGCCCCTGACAATAACGCTGCCATTATTTCTGCTAGATTTTCTCCTTTTTCTTCCTCCATATTCTGGAACCGCAAATAATAGTCAGACGGTCCATTTCCAGAAAGATTATTATTCTTTCCTTATTTTTATCTGCCAATGTAAGTCTATTATCAACTTCATCCACTTTCTTCTCTGGTTGTTCAACTTTTTCTTCTACTTTCTGTATACGTTGTTCATTACTTGCCATCATTCGTTGAACATTCTCTAACCTATCTTCTATTTTCTCTAATTTGTCTTCTACTTTCCTTATTTTTTCTTTGACTTCTTTAAAATCATCGTGCAACACTTGGATCATTCCTTTCAGTTCTAGCTGCATTGTGTTTGCTTTCTGTTGTTGTAGTAAAGCATCCAAGGTCCTCTGTTCAGAGGGACTCGAAACTGCTGACGATGGTGCTGACGGTGTTTTCCTCATCTTGAGTCTTTTTAATATTTGTAATCCACAAAGAGAAGAGAGTGTAGTGATCAATTATAATCCAAAAATGAAAATAGAAAAGAAAAAAAGAAAAGAAAAAGAAAACAAGACAAGGAACCAAAACCAAAAGTAATTTATAATCCAAAAATCCAAAAATTTTCAATCCTTTAACCCCCCTTCTTCTTGTTGTTTTCTTTGGGATCTTCAGACCGTAATCTTTTAATATCCAGCAAAAAGGGATAGTATATCGATAAATTGTAGGTCTACCAAACCCAATTGTTTTATATTGCCTGAGAAAGGGTTCAAAGAGTTCACAGAGCCAGACAGAAAAAAAATAAAAATAAAGTCTTACTGCATATGTTACCCTTTGGTTTCAAGAGCTAGGCTATTTAAAAATAACAGGTTTCAGTCTTATGCTCTCTATCTTAGTTTTCAGTCTTCAGTCTGACCAACTTATAATATCAAGGTTATTTCAAGTAGTCAGTTCATATCTTTATTTACACAATTTCTCAAGGCTGTGGCTGCAGCTCCCAGCTTCCACTTCCTTTCAACCTTTTTTTCTATCAGAGCTCTGTTTGAAAAGCTTTTTAGGAAAGATGTAAGACTTACCTGTGTCTTACATCTGTGATTTCTATGGGCCGGGATAGGACCTGCTGCATGTCTTCCATTTTCTTATCTTCCACTCCTCATTTCCATTCCCATTCCTCACCCCTGCTGCTGTTTCTCTTGCTTTTCAGTCTTCTCAATCACTTTTGGATTATACTGTCACTCATCTTTCTCAAACTGTCATGTATCGTTACTGCATTTTTCCTTTCAGGATGAGCAGGGTCATAGAAATCACAGAAAAGGAATAAGAGTAAGTCAAAGAAATTATAGGTATGAGATTAGAACAAGGAAAAGAATGATTGCTAAAACAAGGTTCTTTTCTATACTTGCTATCTTTTCAAACTGTTCATCTATCACAACCATACAGCTGTGGCCTTTTGCTCTGGTTTGTCTTTCAGATACTCATTAACCCTATCCAGACGAGACTTACATAATCTTCCTTTTAATAAGATTGGTAAGAGTTGTATAGATAGTCCTCGACTTACAACCACAATTGAGCCCAAAATTTCTGTTGCTAAGTGTGACAGTTGTTAAATGACTTTTGCCCCATTTTACAACCTTTCTTGACACAGATGTAGTTGCTAAATTAGTAACATGGTTGTTAAGTGAATCTGGTTTCCTCATTGATGTTGCTTGTCAGAAGGTCACAAAAGGTGATCACATGACCCTAGGACACGATGTCAAACTTGATCACATTGCGTGACGTATCGTGATATTTTTTGCTTTTGTGGAGCCAGGTTGGCCATGGCTTGTGCGTGATGCATCCAGCCCATGGGCCGCCAGTTTAACACCCCTGCCTAGGACACTGCAAACTTCATAAATACATGCCAATTTGCCAATTTTGATCACATGACATGGGGATGTTGCAGTGGTGTGAAAGATAGTCATAAGTCACTTTATTCAGTGCCATTATAACTTTGAACAAAATGGATGTTTGTAAATCAAGGATTACTTGTAGACTTAATTGCACTCATGCCAAATGCAACGTTCCTGGCAAATAGCACAATAATGTAAATGCAGTATATAAAAACACACTCAGAAACTTGGGGTTCTTCATAGATATTACAAATATTTTTGACTGAGTCACCCCGCTGTAGCCCTCCATATTTTATAGAATTTAAAAAAAATACTCTTGAAATCAAAGGAGGCCCAAGTGCTGACTTTGAAGCTGCAGAAAAGAGATTCTGGTCAAAGGAAAATAGGATAGTGAAGAAGCAGCACCCTATAAGAAAGCTCATTTATACAGCTTCAAGCAATGGTTTGCTGTTATATCTGAGGACTGTAGCTCTAACTCTAACTTTCTTTAAGTATTATGTCAATATATATTTATATTTATTAACTATAAACATCACATGTAGTGTTGTATCATGATTTATTTGATTTTGTATACAAGTTGACTTATGACTACAATTTAGCCCCAAATTCCCGTTGTTAAGCAAAGCAGTTGTGAATTGCATCCCGGTTTACAAACTTTTTTGCCACAGTTGTTGAGTGAATCACTACAGTTGTTAAGTGAATCATGGTTTGTTAAGTCAATCTGGCTTCCCTCATTGACTTTGCTTGTCAGAAACCTTCTGGGAAGGTAACAGATAGTGATCATAAATATATACCAGTTGCTGAGCACCCAAATTTTGATCATATGACTGTGGGGGATTCTTCATCAGTCATAAATGTAAAATCCAGTAAGTCACTTTTTTCAGTGCCATTGTAACTTCGAACTGTCACTAAATGAATGGTTTTAAATTGATGACTACCTGTCATAGGGTCCAGATAGGACGAAACAAGCCAAAGTTCAACCTGAACAAGATAGAGTGGCTGTTAATTGTGGTGGTTTGTTAGACCTATTTTCTTCTTTTTCATGGGGAAGCACACTACTCTTAAATGAACAGGACTATGACTTGAGGCATCTTCCTAAACTCGTGGCTACTGGTGGATGGATTTATTTATTTATTTTTATCCCATTTTTCATTTAGCAGTTGAAATGGAATAAACATCAAAATGTAACAGCAACAATAAAAAGCAAAACATAGTAACAGAAATAATAGTAATAGTAGTATTGATTGTGTGGTCGATTCAGGGGAGAAGGTATTTTAGGAGGATACTGTAAAACGGGTTCCCAATCCCCAGGCCGCGGCACACTATTGGGCTGCGGCCCATTCAGAACTGGATTGAGGGAGAGCCAAGCGCACATGCAGCTCAATTTATAAAAGCGGTGGGCGCACTCACCCGCCGCTCATACCGAATCATCCCCTCTCCCACCGTTCTACAAAGCTACTGCAAAAGACTAGCAGAGATAGTAGTCAGATGCAAGTTTAAATTATGCAAATTGTTTTATATTTAAATTTAGTTTCTCCAAAATGCATTGTTTTTCATTTAAATGAGAAGTGCATATGCAAAATTTTGAAAAGAAAAGTACAAGAACAAAGCTAAAATTAAAAATCACATAAGACCAATATTGGAAAGAAAGTATGCCTTTTTGGGGATATGTAAAGTATATTTGGAATCTTAAGGCAGTTTAGAAAAATTTAACAATGCATATTCAATATTTGAGTCCAAATACAGTTTTCTATTAAAAAAAAGGGAATTATTAGGGATTATTCTGTTAATATAACATAACAGCTGCTTCTGGGTCTTCCATTTACTTCCCTGTCCAGATGAAAACTCTTTTGAAGTAATTATTTTGTTGAAAATTAGATGGTGGGTTTTTATTTTGTTTGTTTGTTTTTTTAGAGCCAGCAGGTCTCAAGGGAGTTGATCACCTATGATGCAAGACGGAATTAGGAAATTAATTATTTTAAATTTCTAATCAAAACCATGAAAAAAATCTTAGTGCATTTATTTCTAGAAAAAGACTGTCCTACTTTCATTTCCTATCTATAGTGAAAATGTATTGCTATAGTATTGCTATTACTATAATGATTCCTTACCTGTAAGTCAGTTTCTTGCTCAATGGAAATTCAATAAAGAAAATTGGTTTTTGTATATTTTATATGACAAATATCTATTGATTTTCTTTTTTATTGCAATAGGCCAATGCACAACTAGTTCGAGAAATTGATATAGAGAAAGTGTCCTCATTTGAGAATCCCTATGTAGATGCAATAAAGAGCTTATGGAATGATCCTGGTATTCAAGAATGCTATGACAGACGACGGGAATATCAGTTGTCAGATTCTACTAAATAGTAAGTATAGATGTTTTATGGGGATTTTTAGCAATGTAATTTTAAAATGTATATAAATGTATACACATTAATATTGGGTTTTCTCATTTCAGTTTTGAAAATTAGTTAATGTAACTTCTTAACTGGTGCTTCAATATGCCAAATTAATCAGATATTACGTAGATGTATATCTCAGATATAATGAGATGCTTTCTGAAATGCTTTGACAGAAGATCCTAAATCTTCTGGTCAAATGATGATCATGCTGTTAGTATAGCTGGCATATATAAATATGCCACCTTGCCTATCCTACTCTTTTCAGAACCCAGTTTTTGATCATCTTTTTTCTTTCAGCTTATCTCATTAAAAATTAAAAGAATTTTTATTAATTTTCACAAACTACAATAGCTGTAACAACAGGGAAATATTTAATTATTTGAACATTCTTTTGTTCCCCCTCAAAAATTAAAAAATAATCTGGTTTAAAAATAATAAAGTTCTTATTCTGAGTCTTGTATAATTATGTATGTATGTATGCATGTCTCCTACCTTTTCTCCAAAGATATTAAAGAAACATGCATTGTTTTCTCTTCTTTTCTTGTTTTTCCTTACATCAAACCCAGTGAAAGCTAGACTAAGAGATGGTGACAAGCCTTAGATCATGTATTGAATATTGTGGCAAAAGAGACATCCTGTACTTTGGTTCACACTTGTTGCTATATGTGTGAAAACAATACATTACTGTAGGACAGGAAGAGAAATAATATCTTATTTTTCAGAATTTCTAGAATAAAGAAGATAGGGTTACTTCTTTTGGAGGTAATATTTTCCAGTAATATTTTTGGTATATTTTCCAGAATTTCCTCTTCATATGACCAAGAAGTAGAATTGGCAGTCAGAACTAATGGAATTTGACTGATAAGGCAAATGACTGTGTATGAACATGAACATTTTGAACCTAGACCAAAATGTCTGGATATAAAAGCTCAGAAGTTTTATTTGGCAAGATTTGCAAAATATATTTATTTGTCTGTTATACTTTCTAGCCTTCAAAAGCTCAGCTGAATTACTTAAACAGCACCAAAAATAAATACCGTATTTTCTGGCATATAAGACGACTTTTTAACACATGAAAATCTTCTCAAAAGTCGGGGGTCGTCTTATACGCCGGGTGTCGTTCTCCTGTAACCAGGCAGACCAGCCCGAAAGGCTCTGACAAGCCTTAAATGGCTCTGGCGATCCCAGCTCTGACGATCCCAGCTTTGCCTGCTAATCAGGCAATTCAGCTGGGATCGCCAGAGCCATGGAGAAGGGAAAAACTTTTTCCCTCTCTAGCTTGCTTACCTTAGCTCAGTGGTTGGGGGTCAAACAACCCTTTCACAGGGGTTTTGCAGGTGGTGCAATACAGAAAAACGAGCGCAGCCCTCGCCATCCAGAATGAATGGTGCTGTTGTGGCGGTGGGGGAGAGGGCGGCAGAATCGGGAAGAAGCGGCGTTTGCGATGGCTGGAAGCTGTGGGAGTGAAGCACTACTTTCATTTGTATGGCAACAGCATTCCGCCTTGGTATATTTGTGTCAGGAGTGGCGCAAGGCAGCCTTTGTTTCCTGCTGCCTGGGACTCAGAGTGGTAAATGGCGTCTGATCCGGAGAGCTGCTGGATTTTGCTCTCTAATCCGGATGCCAAATCGGCCCCCTGCAAACTCTCGTCTCTCGAGGAGCACTCCCTGAAGCGGGGCTGGAAACTTTGGTTGGACTGCTTGAGAGAGGAGAGCTTGCAGGGGGGCGATCTGGTGTCTCTCCATCTGCAATGGAGAGCGGCATCCGGCTTTTTCTCTCCGCTGTAAGAGCGCTGTAAGAGCGGCAGCCCTCATCTCCTAATGCTTGGGACTCAGAGCGGTAAATGGTGACTGGTCCGGGGAGCAGCTGGATTTTGCTCTCCATTGCAGATGCCAGATCAGCCTCCTGCAAGATCTCGTCTCTCGAGGAGCGCTCCCTGAAGCGGGGCTGGAAACTTTGGTTGGACTGCTTGAGAGAGGAGAGCTTGCAGGGGGGCGATCTGGTGTCTGCAATGGAGAGCGGCATCCGGCTTTTTCTCTCCGCTATAAGAGCGCTGTAAGAGCGGCAGCCCTCATCTCTTAATGCTTGGGACTCAGAGCGGTAAATGGTGACTGGTCGGGGAGCAGCTGGATTTTGCTCTCCATTGCGGATGCCAGATCAGCCCCTGCAAGATCTCGTCTCTCGAGCGCTCCCTGAAGCGGGGCTGGAAACTTTGGTTGGACTGCTTGAGAGAGGAGAGCTTGCAGGGGGGCGATCTGGTGTCTGCAATGGAGAGCGGCATCCGGCTTTTTCTCCGCTGTAAGAGCGCTGTAAGAGGCAGCCCTCATCTCCTAATGCTTGGGACTCAGAGCGGTAAATGGTGACTGGTCCGGGAGAGCAGCTGGATTTTGCTCTCCATTGCAGATGCCAGATCAGCCTCCTGCAAGATCTCGTCTCTCGAGGAGCGCTCCCTGAAGCGGGGCTGGAAACTTTGGTTGGACTGCTTGAGAGAGGAGAGCTTGCAGGGGGGCGATCTGGTGTCTGCAATGGAGAGCGGCATCCGGCTTTTTCTCTCCGCTATAAGAGCGCTGTAAGAGCGGCAGCCCTCATCTCTTAATGCTTGGGACTCAGAGCGGTAAATGGTGACTGGTCCGGGGAGCAGCTGGATTTTGCTCTCCATTGCGGATGCCAGATCAGCCCCCTGCAAGATCTCGTCTCTCGAGCGCTCCCTGAAGCGGGGCTGGAAACTTTGGTTGGACTGCTTGAGAGAGGAGAGCTTGCAGGGGGGCGATCTGGTGTCTGCAATGGAGAGCGGCATCCGGCTTTTTCTCTCCGCTATAAGAGCGCTGTAAGAGCGGCAGCCCTCATCTCTTAATGCTTGGGAGAGCAAAATCCAGCTGCTCCCCGGACCAGTCACCATTTACCGCTCCGAGTCCCAAGCATTAAGAGATGAGGGCTGCCGCTCTTACAGTGCTCTTATAGCGGAGAGAAAAAGCCGGATGCCGCTCTCCATTGCAGACACCAGATCGCCCCCCTGCAAGCTCTCCTCTCTCAAGCAGTCCAACCAAAGTTTCCAGCCCCGCTTCAGGGAGCGCTCCTCGAGAGACGAGAGTTTGCAGGGGGCCGATCTGGCATCCGGATTAGAGAGCAAAATCCAGCTGCTCTCCGGATCAGACGCTATTTACCGCTCTGAGTCCCAAGCAGCAGGAAATAAAGGCTGCCTTGCGCCGCAAATATAGCAAGGCAGAATCCTGATGCTGCACTTTCAGCAGACAGATGAGGGCTGCCTTGGCCATTGGCTGGCGCAAATATACCAAGGCGAATGCTCATGCCGCACAAGTTCAAGTAGTGCTTCGCTCCCACACTTCTTCCGGCCCTCAGTCTCTCAGGGAGATGCTTGACTTCCTCTCAGCCCCAAGACACTGGCTGGCCCATGAGATGAGAGAGAGAGAGAATGAGAGAGAAAGAGAGAGAATCAGAATGAGACAGAGAGAGAAAGAGACAAAGAATGAAAGAGAGAATGAGAGAGAGAGAATCAGAATGAGACAGAGAGAGAAAGAGACAAAGAATGAAAGAGAGAGAAAGACAGAATGAAAGAGAATGAGAGAAAGAGACAGAGAGAATCAGAGAGAGAGAGTGAGAGAGAGAGAGAATGAGAGACAGAGAAAGAGACAGAATCAAAGAGAACCAAAGAATCAGAGAGAGAATGAGAGAGAGAGGGAGAGAAAATGAAAGAGAATCAGAATGAGAGAATCAGAATGAGAGGGAGAGAGTGGGGAGAGAGAGAGAAAGAGGGGGAGAGAGAAAGAGAATGAGAGAGAAAGAGTGGGAGAGAGAAAGGGGGAGGGAGAAAGAGAAAGAGTGGGGGGGAGAGAAAGAGAGAATGAGAGAGAGTGGGGGGAGAGAGAAAGAGAAAGAGAGTGGGAGAAAGAGAGAGAAAGGGGGGGGAGAAAGAATGAGAGAGAAAGAGTGGGAGAGAGAGAGAGAGAATGAGAAAGAGGGGAGAGAAAGAGAAAGAGTGGGGGAAAGAAAGAATGAGAAAGAGAGGGGGAGAGAGAAAGAGAATGAGAGAGGGGGGAGAGAAAGAGAGAATGAGAAAGAGTGGGAGAGAAAGAAAGAGAGGGAGAGAGAGAGCGAAAGCGAAAATGAGAGAGAGAGAAAGAGAGAATGAGAGAGAAAGAGTGGGAGACAGAGAGAGAGAGACAGAGAGGATGGAGAGTGCCTGAAGGACCCCATCCCGTATTGGGAGTCCAGGTGCTTCAGCAAGCGGGGCACTGGATTCGTATTAGTGGTCTGCGAAATTTAAAATTATGAAGTTGGTGGTCCCTGAGGTCCAAAAGGTTGGGGACCCCTGGCCTAAGACCATCGGAAAACACATATTTTTGATGGTTTTAGGAATAACTTTATCGTTGGGGGTCACCACAACATGAGGAACTGTATTAAAGGGTCGCGGCATTAGGAAGGTTGAGAACCACTGCCTTAGCTGCTTGCCTTGCTTCGCTTGCCTGAATCCATTCCATCAGCAAGCAACTCCCTGCCTGCAACCAAGCAGGCAGGAAGTTGTGGACTTCAACTCCCAGAATTCCTCAGGCAGCAAAACAAAGCTGGCTGAGGAATTTTGGGAGTTGAAGTCTACAAGTCTTAAAGTTGCCAAGTTTGGAGACCCCTGTTCTATTGGGTAAGTTTTTTTCCCCTTTGGGATCTTTAAAAAAAAAATAGTTAATTGGGTTTTTTTTTAGTTCTTTTTTAGACCTAGCCATTTAAAGTTTAGGAAGTTTTAAATTTAGCTTTCATATAAAAATAAAAATAAAATAAAATAATATTTGTGCAGCTTTCTGAGATTTAGTGTGTTTCTGTAGTGTTTCACTCTAACTACACAAACACACAAAATCTCACAAAGCTGTATGTGGAATTTTGTGTGTGTAAAGTGTGAAAGTTGGGTTTTTGGGCTTTTTGTGGCTGTGTGAAGTTCCTGCTTGTTGCAG